CAATGCAGGCTAGACAGTTCAGGGGGCCGACCATGTAGCCAGCGGTGGCGGCAAAGCAGGTCCAAATGCCAACCGCGTGGGATGCAGTGGCAGGCCCAGACCTGCAGACCGTTGGGCAGTTTTGCAGGTGCTGGGGGCAATGTACGGGGCTTGGCAGAGGCAGGACCAGGTGATGCAGGAGCAGGCAGCGCCCTGACCACTGGCGGAATGGCAGCCACAGGTGGTGGAACTGGTGATAGTGGCACTGCCGGTGACGACATAGGTACTGCTGATGGTAGAGTATGAGGTGGCTGAATGAATTCAGAGCCATCAGCAGATACAAGGATGTGCTGGAGCAGTTCTCCTGAACCTGAACTGGAAGATGTGAACAAACATTGGGCATGCGTGGAACTGCTCTGGGGTTGGAAGTCTGTGATTGGACCTTGGAGTGTCCATCCTAAGCGGGTTTTGACTGCTGCAGGAGATCCAAATGTTCCATGTCTAACTGGTGCAATAGGCGTAATAAGGTGGGTATGATCAGAGCCTATGAGCAGTAGTGGAGCTGCTTTGTTAATGAAGGTTAATGGGATACCTTGAAGATGCTTGTATCTCCGTTGAAGAGAGGATACGGGGTAGGTGTGGTCTGAAAGTGCTAAGTGACTTGTAGCGAAGGCATTATTAATTGTGTACGTTTTCTCTGGATGTGCGATGGGTGAGATTTTGAAACTTACGGAAGAACCTTGAATAGTTTCAACTTCTTGACGGACAGTTCTAAGTGATAATCTCTCTGCTTCCCCAGTTAGGTGGAGATGCTTAGCTGCAGATGTCAGAAGCATGGTACGTTGGGAGCCATCGTCAAGTATTGCATATGTTTCCAGGGTTCTTTTGCCATTACGCAGGAGCACTTTCACAACCTTTAAAAGGACACTGGGACAATCACTAGGTCTATCAAAGTGTAGTGTCCTCACTACAGGATTAGTTTCAGTTTTAGATCTCTTATTTACATCACATAGGATCTGTAGATGTAGTCCCATACAGGTGGCACATGCTTTCCTCAGGTCACACTTTGCGGCCTGATGAGTCCTAGCACAACGCCAACACCGTTTGTTTGCTTTTATCCAGTTTATTTTCTCATCCTTTGTCTTCTGAATGAACTCAGGGCACTTGCTAATGTGGTGTTCAGGTGAGCAGCAATATGCACATCTAGCCTTAGTCATTATGATGGGTTGTGCTGCCTGTACAGGATCGGATGCATTTGTCCCATGTAATATTGTTGTGAGTGGAGAGGTGTACTTATGGGCAGGTCGTGGCTGGTTAAAGGATGAAACAGGACTGGCCTTTCTTGGTTGACACTTGCATTCAATTTGCAACCAGGATGAGAACAAAGGTAAGTCATACGTCATATCTCCTTGTTCCCTGTAAATGTGCCGTTTGAAGCGACTGGAATGGTCTGCGGGCAACTTTTCAAGTAGGCGATCTACATGGGAGCCACAATTTAGTTCTGTCTGTCCTTGATCACCCATAGTGCTAAGCAAACCAACTAAAGCTTGTACACGAAGAGCAAAATTATCAAGACTCTGACCATCACCTGCTCTGATAGGAGGAAGCTCCAGTATATTCCGTAGCTCTTTCAATGCCAGCTGTCTTGGTTGCCCATAACGCTCATCAAGAGCTTTGATGGCTTGAGTGTATGGGTCAGGAGCATAGGAAAAGGAAATAGCTAACCGTTTAGCTTGGTCTACTTTCAGATGATCAAGAAGGACATGATATTTGAAATGCTCTGTGTCATGAGGGTCAAGCAGGTTAGTAAGGGCCATTCGTAACAGCCTATACTGGATTTCATCTTCTCTGGTAAGGTCTGGGAAAGAAGGACCCTCAAGTTTATACACATGTGTTCTCGTGCTAGAGGAGTGACCCGAGCTAGCAGTACCAGGTATCAAAGGTTTCTGTTCATGCAAACCATCAGATGTAGCTGGTTGCTGCTTTACAGGGGGGTGCTGCCTTGGTTCTGGAATGCAAACGAGAGGTTGAGCGGGGTCTTCATCTAGAGGAACAGCAGGTTGAACACATGAAATCTGGTGGGGACCTTGCAGTGGCGTGGCCAGGAAATTAAAAGGAGTCTCATCTGGTGTAGGAAAAACTGGTCTAGGCAAACCACTTGAAGGAACTGCAGCATCTAATATTGTTGAATTAGGGAAAGGAGGGCTAGCAGCCAGAAGTGCACCAGAGTGACGGCTAACCTGGGGGGGCTGAGAGGGTGATTGACATGTTGCTGGATCAATCACTGGGAACTGCTCATGTTGCTGATGTGTTTGGGGAATGGCTTGTAAACCGCAAACAGAGGATTTGCTCTCATCAGAGACAGTGTGAATTGAAGATCTGGAGGAACTGCGAGAATGGGGAGGAGATAACTGAATCATGAGTTGCCTAATCTCCCTCATTGTCATCAGGAGTTCCCTCATTACCTCATCTTGATTGGTGGGTAAAGGAGCAGGGGATGTCTCTGGTTGTCTTTCTGACTCTCCGACAGGATCCTGCGGCCCATGTGTGTCTTTGTCACTATGCTGGCATTCAGTTTGGCTCTCTGTCTCACATGTAGCTCTTCTAGCTCCAGGATACTGAACGTCATACTGCTGCAGGTAGGCAGGAGGTCGACTATCACGACTGGATCTTCTCAAACCTTCAGTCAATGGCTGCTTTGAATCCATGACGCTAATACCACTCCGGCTCGGAGGACCATGTTTTGAAGGAAGGAAGGTTCAGGGCTTAAGCAATCAGCATCATGGGCTCATCCGGTTAGAATAAGAATAAGCAGTCATCTAATTATTCTCAGGGTTTTCCTTTTATTCTCCAAATCAATAAGGCAAAGAAGGAAGGAAAGAAAGACACACATGGACTGCTCTCTCTCAGCTGCCGCCCCATGTGGGAGTGAAGAAAGAGTGAGGGGTAGGTGAGTGCAGTCCTTATATACTGTGTGACATATAATGTGTGACAGGTGAGTGCAATTAAGGCCAAGCACCACACCCAATCAAAGGTGAGGAAAAGAAACAAGGTGCATCTGGTGAAGTGAATGTGCTGAAAGGTGAGCCTTTACAACATCCAGGTTGCTTTACATTTAATCTTTATCCACACCAACACTGAATACATTCAACTCACAGCCAAGGCAGTCTGCACTGTTGTGAGCATGAGTCAAGCTGAGAGATGTTTACTTTCCAAACTCCTCCTATGTCCTTCTTCCTTTGGGCTAGGCTGCAGACGCTCTGCCACTGCAGCTAGAAATCAGTAATACCACTGTTCCGTCTTGAGCTGCTGAAATGGACAAGCACACATACGCGCACACACAGGTTCTCAGATTTAAGGCATTACAAACTTGAAAAAAGCCATGTCACCCTCAGAGAATTTAATGTAAACAAAACCAGAAGTGCAGTTTAAACATTTCCCCTACATTTCCTTTCACTTTACAAACGCTTGATCTATGAAAAAAGACCGCGTATACACCATGAAAAACTAACAATGTTAAATGACTATATAACAGGTTATGTATGTTAAAAATAAAACACCAATGCCATTATAAACAGCCTCCATTCTATTATTATTACTGACACAGTAACATTAAAGGTTAATGTTTTATTTGGTTTCGATAGAGTAGATTTTTAAAAATATAATACATTGCTTTGTATGACAAAGTCTTTGTTGTTGTAGTGATGTAAAAAGAAATACTCAAGTAAAATGAAAATGTTCCTTCCCACAGGTGATCTGCACTAAACTTTGGACTCGTACCTAAAACTTGAAGTTTTACCTTGTCAGGATGTGCATAAAAAACACATAAAAAATGGAGCACAGACGTGTCAATGTAAAATAAAACGGGGAGGACATTTAGCTATCTTAATAACACACACCGCCAGGTATGAATGACATACCGAGGAAACAGCACGGACAGCCAGGGAAATCACCCATTTTCTTCACTGTCCCAAACACAGATTACTCGACTTCTATGAGTGGGTATATCAGCAGAAACAGATGAGTAAAGAAATCACTACCTGCGAAATGTGTGTACTGTCCTGGCTCTCAACTCCACGACTGAAGGAGCAGCAGAAGAAGAAGGAAACAATCGTGCTGTTGTGCCGCACTACCACCACCCCTCCTCTCCTGCCACATAGCTGGAGACAGCGTCGGTGCAGGCGTTCACCGGTTTTTACTTGGCCACCAACTTCATGTTTACTCCGACCTCCGGGCCGTCGGTAGCAGTGTCGGTGCAGGCAGACAGGAAGGGGTAACAATACTTTTTTCCCCAGGTAGGTACAAACGCCCAGTCCCTAAAACAGCTGAGTTAGTTCTAGTGTGGCTAAAGTTGAATAAGCTGTTAGGTAAAGCTAAGTTAGCTTCCAAATTGCCCGGAGCTGTCAGACCAGCTCCAGCCAGCTGAGTCCACACACACACTTGTGACACAGCCGTTAACGCTATCTCAACTTTGCTAACATTAGCAAAGAAATGACAGTCGTGTGTGTCGACAGCGGATCCCCTCCCCATTTACACCAGGCGCAACTAAAACTAAACAACCCCTCCTCTGCTTTCAGAACATATTCCTGTCGAAAAAAATTAAAGATCCATCTTCAGATTACTTCCGAAACATCTTTATCAGATTTGATATGGGAGTTGTAGTTCTCAGGTGTTTTGCGTTTTCGACTCGACTCTTGCGTCAAGTGCTTTTACGTTATGGTAGCGCTTCTCCGTTTTTTCTTTTATTTTTCGGTTATGACACATTTTCACTGTTGTGTAAAGTCGTATTATTTCGGTGAAGCGAGAAAAAATACCGTTAAATTATCTCCACGCCTAGTTCTATGACCCGTCCCCCTCAACAAGGGTTATACTCACGGTGTAGTATCGCAGTAATAGACGCGGAGTAATAATGAGACTTTTTAGGCGGTGTCAGAGACGTTGCACAATATTTAAGAATAAAACAAGTATTTTACCGAAGCGGGGATTGTATCTTGAATTTCAGCGGTGCTGAACTACATTACCCACGACTCCAATTGCCGTACAGTAGCCCAGTTCTTTTGCGCATGCGTGCCTGGGGGAAATTGGATCTCAAGTTGGCCAAAACAGCGGGTGATAAAAATGGTAGGTGAGATTAAAAATGAGAAACCGTTAGAGTTGTTTATCCCCGTTTATGAGCTCCTCAGACAGTAACAGCTGTCTCTGACGCTCAGGGGTCACCGCAGTGTGCGGGGTCGGGGTGTCCGCGGCCAAGTGTCGCATCGTCAGAGATGTGTGTGAGGAATGTGAGGGGAGACGGGAGGTCAGTTGTTGATGTTTTTGAGACGGGATGCATGCACTTGCGCCACGTACCTTTGCCTTTATGGGGTAGCTCGTCTGCGATGCTGACCCAGGTGAGGATACCCCGTGAAGGATCCCTCCCCCGTGCCTAGAAGGACCAGGTCGACGAGCTGTGGCCTGCCATAGTGCGTTTGCTGTTTGATCATCGCGTGGGTCAGGTCTGCAAAGACGGGCCACATGATCAAACAGCATATTCGTGGACTAACCGAACCTCGTGGCCGTGCATTTGCAAGTGCTAACATCAGCGCTGTGGCACACCTGGTTTCCAGCCTTTTACTTTTTAATTACATGCAAAGCTTAAAGTAGTGAGAGACCGCACAGCAAGTTTTCTGTGGAGTTTCTAGTGAAAGCCTCAACTTAAAGGGAAGTCTTTGCACTCTAGCGTACTCTAATAGCACTTACCCTGTATGTTTGAATGTTGGTGTGCAGTCTGATGATGCATGGCAGGATTACCAAAGCTGGCGAAGTGGGGGACCTGTCCTCCATTACCCCAGGACTTAGAGGGGTCCAGAATTTGTAATGTTGGTTTGATGAGCATTATTTGAATTTATATGCAGCTTGAAATATTTTAATTACTTGAAAGAAGGGCCTGTGTCTAGGGATGGGTATTGATAAGATTTTCACGATTCTGATTTCATTTTCGATTCTGTTTAACAATTCGATTCTTTATCGATTCTCTTATCGATTCTTTTTATAAAAAGGAGAACACTAAGGTCGATTAGCTTAGAACTTTGTTTTATATCTTCTCTTTGAACAAGATAGAAATTTAGGAGTAGCCTGGCCTTACAAACCCAACAGTGAGATCTTAAGAGGTCCAGCCTACGGCTCTTCAATGGGGTGTCACAGGGTCCCCAGGAAAAAAAAATTGTAAATGTAAAATAATAAAATAAATATTCTCCCATAGCAATAACAAAGTGTAACATAAATTATTCTGTAGCAATTACACAAGAATATCGAGTAATGTCCCTGCCTACAATTAAACACATTCACTTACCAAAGTGAAATCGGGGGCATCTGCTGTGGCAAATAGGTTCAAGCCTTTGACCACAAACTTAGTCACTACTCGGTGACATTCGTCTATCCTGGCCTGAAAGGAGACGCTATCGGTAGACTGCAGCGAGAACTGCCAGCATCTGAGCCAGACTCTGTCTGTCTCTCTCATCATGGTCACCTAAACGCACAGTAATAGCAGGTTTTGTAATAAGGCAGATTGCGCTAACATAATATGCACTGTTAGTTTACCTGCCGCATTAACGGGAGAGGACGTGCAAACGTTACCGCTGCTGCTGGGTTGAGATTCACGAGTCCGGAGCGGAATTAAAAACACGACATTCATTTAAGGTCATCGTGTGTTTTGTGAGCAAATGCTTTTGCAAATTCACAGTGTTTCCTCCCTTAAATGAAATCTCTACTTTGCAAGTATTGCAAGTTGCCCTGTTGTCATCCGTTCTCATAAAGTATAACCAAACTTTTGAGCATTTGAGCCGCTTAGGCACCGTGTTTCCTGCCAGGTAAGCAACGCTCTGCAACGTGGTGACGTCATTCGGGGCGACTGGAATCGATAAGGGAATTGTTTGCAAAAATGGCAAACACTTTCAAGGAATTGAAATAGTGGGAACCGGTTCTCAACAAGAACCGGGTTTCGATACCCATCCCTACCCGTGTCTATCTTACCTTATCACATTTGATACTCTTTCCTATTTCATTTATATTTTGGCCCCTGCATTCACCTGCATCCCTCCTTACTTTCCAGCACAAGCTGAAGTCATCACAGAAGGACAAAGTTCGGCAGTTTATGTCCTTCACGCAGGCAGGCGAAAGGACAGCTGTGTACTGCCTGGCACAGAATGACTGGAAACTAGAAGTCGCCACAGACAACTACTTCCAGAACCCAGACCTCTACTACAAAGAATCCATGAAAACCTCAGTGGACCGCAAGAAGCTGGAGCAGCTCTACAACAGATACAAAGGCAGGTGTCAGGGATTGAAATCGGAGCGATCCGCTCATTCCGTCGCGCTCATTATTTTCGGCTTTTGTTGTAGATCCCCAGGATGAGAACAAGATAGGCATCGACGGGATCCAGCAATTCTGCGATGACCTGATTCTAGATCCGGCGAGCATGAGCATACTGGTGGTGGCGTGGAAGTTCAGAGCAGCCACGCAGTGCGAGTTCAGCAGGAAGGAGTTCCTGGATGGCATGGCTGAGCTAGGGTGAGCAGTAACTGGCTTTGAAATCTATTTTGTGATTAACTGTACTGCATTTCTGACATAAGAGTGTATGTACTGTGCCGTTTGTCTCTGTAAGACGAGTCATACGAGTATTTAAGGTTTCATATTTCAGACTTTACATCATCATCATGTCCTACAGGTGTGACAGCCCTGAAAAGCTTAAGGCCATTCTTCCCAGACTAGAGCAGGAGCTGAAAGACTCAGGAAAGTTCAAAGACTTCTACCAGTTTACCTTCAGTTTTGCCAAGAACCCAGGCCAGAAGGGGTTAGGTAAGAATGACAGTGTGTAGGGAAAACACTGTTTTTAATCAAAAACATGAAGCATCCACCCTTAAACAGATTTTCTGCTTTCTAGACCTGGAGATGGCCGTGGCTTACTGGAATCTAGTTCTCACAGGTCGGTTCAAGTTCCTGGATCTGTGGAACCGCTTCCTGCTGGTGAGTGTGGGATGTTCTGTTGTCTCCCCGTTCTTTTCATTTTTGGATCAGTGGGACATTTGGGTATCTGACATGCATGAATCGATTTCCCTGGCATTTCAAGCATGCTTTGTCCATCTTGTTGACCTATATAAAAGAAATAATCCAATCCCCCACATTGATTTTTGACAGTTTAGAGTTATGTCACCTTTAATTGAGGCTGTTTGTTTGTTGCCTTTGTAATTTTAAAAAAAAAAGTGGGTTTTTTTTAGTTTTTTTTTTTTATGATCACAATGAAACTCCAAACGTTTCCTGTTGCTGTGCTGCATTCAGGAGCATCACAAACGATCGATTCCCAGGGACACATGGAACCTCCTCCTGGACTTTGGCAATATGATTGCAGACGACATGTCAAACTATGATGAGGAAGGTGAGCTAACGAGTCTGGATGAAGATGATCGGTGAACACATTGAAAGCTCATCAGTTGTAACATTAAATACGAATAATTCAGGGTGTTGTCTCTTTGTCTGCCCCTACGCCAGCGCACAAGTGACTTGAAGTACTGTGCAAATGCTTTGAGCCACCAATAATTGCTTTCTTTTGCTTTAAATGAGCCAGATTTTCTAGTAGTTCACATTTCTTAAGCTAAATCTATGATAAAGGCCAACAATAAGTCAGTTTGACAGGTATAAAATTGTATTTTTTCAGCAGCTAAACAGCTCTTAGCAAGAACTGGGTATATCTCAATAGCGTGTGTTGTGAATCTAAAAAAAAAATGAAGGAAAGTTGACAAGTAGCGGGCAAAAGAATTGGCAGGCCGTTAAAAACCATCTACAGCAGAGTCACTTCCTTTAAGGCCACCCTTTTATCTAACTTTCTTATCTGTGATGTCTTGAATCGTGATTTCACTACTTAAATCTTGTTTATTTATATTCCCTCTAACGTATTCCTCTTCTGCTCACTCTCCTCAGGGGCCTGGCCCGTCCTGATCGACGACTTTGTGGAATTTGCTCGGCCGATTGTGATGGGGACCAAACGCAACGTGACATAATGTTTGTCCCGGCTTCATGCAGCGGATTGAGTTTCGCATTTCTTCCTGTTTTCTTTTCCTGAATGAGGTTTTTGATACAAACGAGCCAAAAATGAGACTACTTCTAATTAAGCCTGACTGCAGCTTTTTCCATTAGGATTGTTCTTCCAACTGCATACGATGCCTCTGAAAGGGAGAGACCCGAACTTTTAAAATGGAAAGCAGGACGGGAATCAGCCAGAAAGAGAACTTTTTTTCTTTTTTTAGTTGTTGTTTGCTGACACAAACAGCAATGTGAAGAGGATGTAAATGCTCAAACTTCTCACCGACAGGTGTAAAACCACACCTGTGGACTCACTAACCAGCAGCCTCGGTACAGTGACAGCCAGAGAGTCGGTTGGAAGTTAAACTCTGCATGTTTTGTGAGCTAGTGTGGAGTGGTGCCATGATGTGTGTGTGTGTGTGAGTGGGGGTGGTGCTATTAAGGTTATTTTCACGGATGTTGCGAATGTGTTGCTCTCCAAGTTACAGTGAGAGCAGACAGAGGAAGTGAGCTTGAGTGTGTTTGTGTGTGTGTCTGTGCATATTGCCTTATTTACAATACCATCCCACATATCTTTGGTTTTGTTGATATGTAAAAAGCTGGAATAATTCACCTTAAACTCCACATCTTGTGTTCAGAGATCTAGGTAGAGAAGCACGTTTGTTGAGCACCAGCAGAATCACAAAGGCTTTATCGATCTGTTACAGTGGTGTCACTTTCATTTCATCACACAAACCCCACTGAACGTCTGTCTCTGTCACTAACTGCAGGCTTTCTGTGCTGCTCCTGATAGCTCTACCTCCTGCAGAGGCTCAGAGAGGGACGTCTGTGTTCTGAATTAGGAATTACCAAAAAAAAAAGCATCGTAAAAGGAAATGAAGTTGATGAGATAAACATGTTACTGCTGTTTGGGGCATTCTCAAGTGAGCTGAGGAGCTCGCAGGTGATTGCAGAGAGAAGTGCAGCAGTCAGTTAATGTGCTCGTATTCAGACTGACGCCGGTAGATTTTTGTTGTGACTTCTGTGGCTCGCTCAGGCCTGAAGCTCTTCTAAAGGAGCTTTAGAAGAGCAAAAACAGGTCGTGGCACTTTTTTTTGTTGTTGGTGCAAAAGCAGCATTTGGGATGCTGCAGCATTACACTTGTTGGTTTTATGTCTTGACTTTAGCAGCGATTAAAAGTACGAACACAGAGAGAAGCTGAGGGGCGCCCTGACTCTTTCTTGTCATCCCGGTGAGGATGACTTGTCACCTCTACAAACTGCACTGAAGTACACTTTTTCTGTTGTAGGATTATACGTTTTTATTTAATCAGACGGCACTGTGTGGAGCATCGGAGTTATTCGCGTTTCGTGGCAGTAGGTTTCTCTCACGTGCTAACGTTTTTATAATGAAGTTGTGCATCGCAGCAAGGAGTATTTTAACTGATTGTTTACACGGCTGAAGATTGCTTTTTATAGATTTGGTTGAATTTATTACATAGGACAACATGAACACTGCTCAGGCTGCCATCTAGTGGTGGCAGTGGGCTATAGCATTTCTCACTTTTCTGTAGTTTAATGAAGACTTGAGCCTTTTAACACTTAAGAGATCAGTGCAGCAATGCTTATTATTATTATTATTATTATCATTATTAATAGGATTAACTGTTTCTCTTTAAGTGTACCTAAAACACTCTACATCCCAGAGTATGGCAGAAGTAGGGGTGCAACAATACACAAAATTCACGGTTCGGTTCGGTTCGATACTTTGGTGTCACGGTTCGATATTTTTTCGATACAAAAAAATGTTCATGCCTTTTTAATTTGTCATTTATTAAAATTATAAATATATATTTTAACTCAAAAGTACAGTTTTTAAATTTAACCCTAACCCTTGTGCGTGTTTTTTATTTTGACAGCGAATGCGCACCTGCGGACCACTTATGTGCACCCCTGGTTATTTAGCTCGTCATATTGCAGCCACAGAAATTCTTTTGTCCATGAAACCATAAAGCTGCACTTTCTTTTTGCCTTATAGTCTGATTTGTCATAACTTCTCCGTTTTGTGGTAAGCTTTTCTTTGGCTGTCACTTCTTCACCCTGACCTGTCTTATTTGGCTCAGCAGAACTAAAATATATATCTGTCTGTGAAGGTTCTCAGTCATCCAGGTCATCGTAGTCAAATATAAATCCTGCTGCTTTTACACACGCACTCACATAAGCTCAGCGATTCTCTGCTCGATCAACCTCTCACATGTTTAAGCTGCGGGAGCTTTCACTTGTCATGTTTGCATAGTAAGCTAACGATTAATAAGACGATGTCAGAGGAATTGGTGCGCAAATTATCATCACTCACAGATCAGTGCTGTCGCTCTCTATACACAGTTCGCACGATTGCAAAGTGAAAGCAAAAAAACAAGCGCAAATTCAAACGCGATTTCAATATGTCACATATTGACAGTGGCTCACCGATGCCAATGACATAATTACCCAGCTACATTTCCGAAAGAATGCAAAAGCATTGACATATATTTTTCCTTCCTACAATAGCCCGACGGGCAGGGAAGAGATAGATTTTGGTAGCCCGACTGAAAAAATCGCTAGCTCCGGGACGTCGGGCTAGCGATATTGCGAGCCCTGTATCTGATTGAGGAATCACTCATCTTTGGAAAAGAGAGTTTATTACAGAGAAATGGCTCTTTCCAAAATAAAAGCTATACTATCCGCTTCTTCTGGGCTATATTCTCAGCAGCATATTAAACAGCTGTCTAAATGACTCGGCTAAAGTTAGTAGCATGCTTGCTTGTTTTTTTTCTGCTTCCACTTGTCTTTGCACTAGGATGATGTCGGCGTAAATGTGCAGTCATATTCGTTGTGTTCCCACTAGTGCTTTCAGGTTAATCTCGTTGAAATGACGTTAACGCCACAACACGGCAAATCTCCGTTAACGAGCTACCGCCGATCGCCCCGTGCATGGGGCTAGACGGCCAACACGTTAACGAGTGAATCTGCGTTTGACTACTCCGCCTAGGCTGCACTGTCGACCCTAGGCGGAGTAGTCGAACGCAGATTCACTGAGCGCTCAACACAGACAGCATCGTCAGAAGGAAAGTTGATAAAATAAATTACAAATTTTGTATTGTTCGATACATATGCGTACCGAACCGAAAGCACTGTATCGAACGGTTCAATATCGATACGAATATCGTTGCACCCCTAGGCAGAAGGTACCAGAGCTCAGGTCCCCGTCACCCTCTCCTCAGTCAGGGTGAGCTGTGCGGCTTCCTGTATTTGTCAGTTCTGGTTCTGTCATGTGTTGTCACTTCAGTTAAACCATGTGCTGAAATAAAGATAGTAATTCTCTTGCATCTGCAGCTACCTACAGGGGGAAATAACTTGACAACCTGGTTGGAAATGCTCATATTTATGTAAACACAGTCACTCATAAACTGTGGTGGTATGTGTGTGAATGTATCATTTTCTTTCTTTCTTTTTTTTTAAGTTCAAGGTAAATCGGGACTGGATTGTGGGTTCACTTCCAGACTGATTATTGCGTCACAGTGTTTGCCATTGTAATTAAGTTAGACATCTTGCTTTAATAACAAAGTTTCCGTCCTGTCAGCATCGCCACCGTCAGCCAGGGTGGCTGTTATCTAACACCTGTGGTTCAGGAGTGACAAAACAACTTCCAGTATTTAGTGTTCTGTTACATTCAGTGCATTTTTAGTTGTCGAATGTGCGATCGGCTGTTTCTAGTCGCACGTGGTCATGGTCTTTAAGACAGTGTTATTTTTGCTGGCAAGAAAACAGGTATTTACAGAGTAATGTTTCTGCTGCAAAAGCATACCGAACATTGTTTTCTTGATAAATGTTGTCAATAAAGCATGTTGTTTTTAACAATCTTGTAAAAGGTGGGTTTTTTTCACAACTATTTGTAGTTTTTGATTTTAGTTTAGTTTTAATTAACTACAGTTGCCTTGATCCAGTGACCTTTGTATATTTACCCCTCAGAGTTTTCAAACAGCTAGATGGTGATGGGCAAAATGCTTGAGAACTATGAACATTGAAGTTTTATTGAAAAAGAGAAAATGATGTCATTGGTAATGTGCTGGAGAGGAGTCGGAGTGCCCTCTGCTGGACAAACTATCCGATGACCCCACTGTGAAATGATCCCGTGCCTCTTTGTTTTACTTTTTTTTTAAAAAGTTCTTTCAGCTCATATTGAACAACACATACCAATTTATAATAATAATAATAATAATAATACATTTGTGTTATATAAAAGTTGTTTATGTCCAGTTGCACTTAACACAAACCCAGCACAGTGATTTCAGAGATGTTTTTAAAAAAATCAGCAGGAAATGGGAGGGGAGAAAACATCCTCCTGCTGAGGACGAGTTGCCCATCATGTTTGAGTGTATGTAAAATGGCTACTTGTTAACAGTTGCCTCTTATCAACTTGCATTCCTGCTGTATATCATCATGATCATTGTTCTTCTGGTAATGCTTTGTCTAGTGTTACTCTGAGTATAATAATAAGGGCAGCTGATGAATGTAAATAAGGGTTGGGTGTGGCACATTTGTGTAATTTGCAGTCAACCAAGTAGGGATTAAAGAAACTGAGAACAGGTCTCTACCAGTGCACATAATTGAAGCATAGATCAGCTGCTGATGTCAGAGGAGGTGATGAATAAAGATGCTTAAAACACTGAAGGAGGGATTAAAGTGTTGAGCTCTTGAGCTTATATGGTATCAGGGGGTCACTGATGCTCCCCTCTTACTCCTCTCTCATGGGACAGGAGGATTCTCAACAAGGTCCAGCACCAGCTGACAAGCTTGCACTCGAGCCCACAGCACATTAGCATCCTCTCCAGTGTGTCCGGCCCCTGTTACCATTCCACACCAAGCTTTGGTACCGGGGGGATTGCCTTTTTAGGAGACACCTGATCACTCACCACCGCCCAGCTCAATGAAGCTGAGGCTGATAACACGATGCTTTCGTGTTTGCCCGCCCTTAAGAGTTTGTCTGCTAGAAACTAATGAGAAACTACAAGAGAGCTGCGAGGATGGGGAAGGCAGTAGAGCTCTGATGTGTCACGAACAAAGGAAAATGGGAGTTTTGACAAAAACCTCGAGAGCTGGAGAAGCTTTTTGAACTTCTTTAGGATGTTTTGGGGGAAGAAAGTTTGATCTGTTTCTTGTTTTTTGAGGTAGTAAAGTACACCTAAAAGGACCCAGATCAAAAAGCAGCATGGAGAAATTCAAGGCAGCCATGGTTTTAAGTGCTGCAGGAGATGCCTTGGGCTACAGAAAGGGCCGTTGGGAAAGGTGCACCTCGGGAAAGATAATCCAAGAGGAACTGGCCTCTCTGGGGGGACTGGCGGCCCTAAAACTGGATCCTGATAACTGGCCCCTAAGTGATGCTGCGCTGATGCACATGACCACAGCAGAAGCACTTGTAACAGGTACGTTTGGGATTAATGACAATTAGGATTTATGATTGTGATTCTGATCAAGATAAAAACACATATTTTACACCCAACTTCACAGAAAACCAATAATGGTCCGTCTTTTTGTGTTCACGGACGCAACCCTGATTTGATGCAAAAATAGACACGTAGCATCTGGCCTGTTCAGACTGGCTCTAATCTCTCTGTGCTCAGAGGGACCAGAATAGCTGCTTCTATACGGGCAAAGGAAGCTGCTAATCACGTTTTGGCAAATCAAAACTGAGTGACAAAACCTCACATACCCTGATCCATCTCTGCCACAGGGGGATCAAAGACAAAAATCTTAACGGGAACCTTACTATGCAGGCCCTCACCCAAATGCCCTCTTGAGCTCCCGCAATGTGGCTCGAAGTTTCCAGGACAGAAGAGTCCAAAATAGACTACTTTGGAAAAGCCTGTCCTCTGCTCCGCTGTCGGGAACAATAGCAGGCCTGACTCCTCTGTAATCTGCTGGTATCATGTGTGCCTGCAGATGTGGCTCAAAGCCAGTGACAGTGGTCCTGAGAAAGAATGGTGATGACATATTTTGAGATTAGCAAGCTCTATTTAGCAACAATCCAACATGCCTGCACATATGCACTTATGCACACATACACACAGCAGCCAGATAACAGCACATGGAGTGTAATGTATGCTGCGCTTCTCAATGTTTGCCCTGTCACTGGACTTACAGGGACAAAGTAAAAGCAAATGTTACAGCAATTATTACTCATTAAAGTAATTACATTACACAGTCTTCTTTAAAGCAGTGAGTAAAAATTTAATCTGAAAGAAAATAGTTCATATTTTCCCAGCACCTTCTTTCCACACATGCATTGGAGTGGACAGACTTCTTTATGAGTGAAGGTCTGAGTCCTTCATCACAAGTTATGAATCACTGACTAAAAGGTGGTTCTTCTCTGTCCACACGGACACTCTCTAATCCACACACACACATGTACAGTCCACAGATTCTAGCACACTGTCTGCGGGCTCTGCTTGTGGCTCCCAGTTGACCTCATAGTGTGTGGAAGTGACTCCATGCACGCCGCTGCTAATCAGCAGTGTGGCAGGCTGAGGCTAAATTTAGCTCATCAAAGCACCACTCAGCTCATCTTCCACGCCAGGCATGAATGACTTTGACTCGGGGGTTTGTGTGTGTGTGTGTGTTTCCAGATTACTGGTGTCTGGAGGACCTGTACAGAGAGCTGGTGCGTCTCTACGTTGAAGCCGTGGTGTCTCTCCAGGGCCGAGTCCCTGATCCCGCCACAGTGGAGAACTGTGCTCATCTCAAACCTTACAACTTTCTGCTTGCCTGGCACACACCTTTCAATGAAAAAGGTCACTGGAGATTTTAAATATATATATATGTAAATTGTATTTTAGAGTTCATGATCACATACGGTTCACATGCAGTCATCATGGATTTGTAATAATTTTTTGTTCTAATGTTCCAGGTTGGAATGATTGTAAGTTTGAATTTATTTTCTGTAATTCACACAGGGTCAAAAGTATACATACAGGCTCACTTATGTCTTTAAACTTGACAAGGTCTATTAACTTCTTGCTAGTGATCATGGTTGACTGTAACAGGTAGTTTCTCTTTGTGAGAATAAAAAGGATTTATTTGACAGGACTCACTGGATTGACCAATACTCAAAACAATGGGGAACTCCAAGGAACTCAGTGAAGATATTAAAGGGGGGAACTGAAGATTTATACAAGCTGAAAAGGTCTCTTGGAGATATTTCTAAAACAAACTGCAGAATCCAGGATCATCAGTTCAAGCAACTGTATGTAAATACAAGGAACCACCAAGGCTCGAGCCTAGCAGATACAGAAAACTGCTGGAACACCAGCTTCGTCATCCACAGCGAAGCCAGTTTTACATCGCCTGTGATCGAAAGGGTGCAGACCAAGAAAGAAGTGCCTTCTCCAAAACCAACACCTTTAAGCTGGACTAAAATATGCAGCTGTCCACATAGACAAGCTAAATCTCTTCTGGAGAAAAATTTTATTTGACCACAATGACAAGGACAAATGTAAGAACACTGTACCAACTGTCAGGCATGGTGGTGGTAGCATCATGCTCTGGAGCTGTTCCTCCCAGGAATAATAGTACATTGCACAAAGTGGATGAACGAAGGAGAACTACCTCCAAATTCTTCAACTTCACCTAAAATCAACATCTTGCACAGTTAAATGAATTCTGCCAATAAGAGTGGTCAAATATTCAGACACAAATATGCCAGAAGTTTGTTGACGGCTGCCAAAAACTTGTTGAGATGCAACTCGCTAAGGGACACTTAACAAAATATTAGTGGGGGTGTATTTATATATATTTGACCCTGTGTAGATTGAATTTATTTTGGTTTTTGTCCAAACTTGTGCACCCAGTTTTTTTTTTAAAGTTAGTAAACATGCTGTACAATCATTTGACCTTGGACAAAGAACAGTTCAAAGAAATTAAAAGCCTCAAAGTACCATGACATTCATACCCATGATGAGCTTATGTACGTAAACTTCTGACCACAGTGGTTGATACAGTACAGAAACGTGTATCTGGATACATGTCTCCATGTTCAGGGTCTGGGTTCGGTGCAGCTTCCAAGGCCATGTGTGTGGGCATGAGATACTGGCAACCAGAGAGATTAGATAGCTTGGTGGAGGTCAGCATTGAAGCTGGAAGAATGACTCACAACCACCCTACAGGTGACGATGTTAACAGCTTCTAATCCTAAGAAATCTGTCACAGGCAGATAATTAAGCTGCTGTTTGACTGCGTAGTATTTCTATTTTAGCAGCAAGAACACAAATTTATTATGGATGTAACTGGTGAGCCTGAGCTATCAGCAGACTGATCAGGCGAAGTGTCTTGTGATCTCATTTGTGGCTTCAGGCTTTCTAGGTTCCCTGACAACGGCACTATTTGCATCCTACGCCATCCAGGGAAAACCTCTTGTGACATGGGGTCGTGAGCTCTTGAAGGTCATCACACGAGCTGCGGAGTACTGCAGGAAAACCATACGGCACATGGCAGGTTAGGCCGGGCCTGTCTGTGGTATGAAAGAAAAAGCATTTAATATGTGCACAAATGTCTGTGAAAGTTGATGTGTGAATGTGTATTCTAATGCAGAGTATCAGGAAAACTGGTTCTACTTTGAGGCCAAGTGGCAGTTTTACCTTGAAGAGCGAGAGATTGATAAGGAGGGACACAACAAAGCTTTGTTCCCTGATCGCTATGATGCTGAGGAAACAGACAAAGTAAGGCTTTTCTTTCAGAATTTCATGCCAATAGATGATAGTTCCTAACAGGCATGTTGCATGCCCGTTAACTCTGTTTTTCTGTCAGTACAGATGTACAAGCGTTGGAGTTCAGAGGGCCGCGCAGGCCGGAGAGGCCACGATGCCCCCATGATTGCCTATGACGCTCTTCTGGCCGCAGGAAGTGACTGGGCTGAGCTGTGCAAACGAGCCATGTTCCACGGAGGTGTGAGCTACAGCTCTGAGGTCCTTCACAGTGCTATGAAAGTGATATTTAGTGTAACTCATACTCTTTGTAACTTAATTATAGGTGAGAGTGAAGCCACGGGCCTGATTGCGGGATGTCTTTATGGCCTCCTGCACGGCCTGAGCCAGGTTCCCCCAGGTCTGCACCAGGATGTGGACAAAAGAGAACGCCTGGAGGAGCTGGGAGAGGCGCTGTTCAAGGCATCATCTGCAGAGAAATGCATAGACAAGTAATCCTGATATTCACTGGCCTGAACTCTGCTGGCTAGCAGCGACTCTGCACATCACTCTAGTAGTTTTAAATTGTAGCCTGCTTCCTCCTTACTACTTTTGTCGTGCTATCCTTGGTTTTCCTTGGATCAGTATGTACAGATCTAGTTGCAGATCTGTCATGAATAACCTTTTATTATGGGTCACACTATCCAGCGTACAAAGCTGAGAGGAATGCTTTGTGTGGGATTGTCTGTTATCTGTCAGTCTAATATTCAGTTGATGGTAATGCAACACCTTAAGTGCCATGGAAAAGTATTTGACGCTTCCCCTGTGTGAAAAAGTATTTGGGCCCCTTGTTGAATCATAATTAACCACAGGCATGATTACTGGCAGACCTGTTAAAAAATGACTTAAATAGAACCTGTCCGAGAAAGTGAAGTAGGCTAAAAGATCTCAGAAAGCAACACTAAAGAAACAGCTGAGAGACTTCTATCAGTCTGGAAAGGGTTACAAAGCTTAAAGCTTTAGGATCCCAACGAAACAAGCTTTGAGCCATTATCCGCAAATGGAAAAAACTTGGAACAGTAGCGAACCTTCCCAGAAATGGCCGGCCTACCAAAATTACTCCAAGAGCGCATCAACGAGTCATCCAGGAGGTCACAAGGGAGCAAATATTCTTTTCACAGCACTCTAGTACCTCACATACTAACGACTAATGACATGCCTCAATTATACTGAAATGACAGAGCAGTGGGGGAAAAAAGGTTATTTTATAACCTGCTTTAACATGAACTATGTACTTTTTAGTCCAGATTAAATGTATTTTTAGCGCATGTGAGATGTGGTTGGGATGATTTTAACGTTTTTAAGTCATAGAATATTAATTTTGTGTTCTAATACCGTGATTATTATTGATGCTCTTGTCAGCAGCACATTGTCAAAGCACCTCTACACAGTTAATATTAAAATGACGTGACAATTAAAGTGTAGTTATATCACACGTAAAGTGCCCAGCTCTCTTTGTCGCCTTAATTTGATGCACAGCTTCATAATTCTATCAGACTTCCTTCTTGTTACACAAATCGCCCTCACAGTTTCCTGAACTAATTATCTAATTCATGCTGCTTTGCTACCAGTCTGGACATTTTGCTACGGGGTTAAAATGACTGCTGGAACTCCCATTTACAGCAAAAGTATTGTTTTTTTGTTGTTGGTTTCTTTTGCTTGCTGGTGAAATAAAACATGAAATCAAAGACATGCAGTTCTAAAGCACTTATTCTGGCGATTACTCCCTTAAAGCTAACTCTAATGTCCCCCCTTCTCTGCTGTAACGACTGCACTTAAACAATAGTGGTGGTTTTACATGTCCTCTATTCTCTGTAGACAAAACTCTCAGAAAACTGCTAACATCCCGGATGCCAGTATGTTGAAGAAGTTGATTAGAGATCCAAAATGCCGTCCGGTGCTCCGTGGGATTCTCGAGAGTCTCCTGCAATACCTGACACAGGATCTGCCCAAGTGGATCACCAGAAATAGAAACTCGGAAAAGCCAGATGTAGATAATATATCACAAAGAAACGCAAGAAACAAACATCGTTCTGAACCAAGAAATGAGTCTTCAGTGAAAATGGCTCAAATTCAGAGAAACTGTGAAATTGTTCACCTGCCTGAACCGGAAAAAATAACCAGAGGGAAAACTGCTGAGACAAGTTCAAACCTCTCGGAAAAGCGCTGGGTGGAGACGCAAAGAAACAAAGGAAATCATACAGCAGGAGACTTAATACCCCGACGCCTTACCACATTCCAGCTGCTCCAGTCCAAATTCATAAGATCCACACCCAAACCTCCCATCACCCATCAGAGGGAGGTGGGAACTCTCCCCTGCAGTAGAGGATTGCTGGGTAACATGAACCGAGACAGCGAGGATGGCACGCAGAAGAGGGAACGAGCCAAAAGACAACGGAAGAAAGAAGGCGGCGTGAAGGATATGGTGGCCAAGTTTGCCATGGCTGAGCAAAAAGAGCAGAAAGTGCTGAATAAACAGCCGGTCAAACCAAGACTCATTGGAAGAGGGATCCTCTTATCTTCCATTATGGAGAAGTTCGAGACCATGGCCACTGTGTGTCAGGGAAGTGATTTAAAGATTTCTCATGAAAGGAGTTCTCAAGGAGTCAAAGTGGCAGTTAATGTAAAAGACAAGGTAGCTTCTCTTGAAAGAGAACAGGAGGGCGTCCAAAGTGTCCACAAACCAAACACAGAGAATCAAATTCTTCTCGGGCCGGAGCCGAAAGAAGATGAAATTAGAAATGTGCAGGATGACAGGAAAGATCGGGCACACTCACACTCGGGTGACAGAAAAGATTTGACGGCAGAGCAAATGGGAGAGAAGAGCTTAGATGATGAGGTTTGCTGCTCATTAAAACATGTGAAGGCTCAAGCTTATGATTTCAGCGTCCAACGGGAAGAATGTGATGATGAAGAACATTGTAGCAACAACAGACTAAAATATGCACATGTAGAGCTGCTCTGTTCAGCTTCTGTGACAGAGTGGTCGTTCCCAGAACCTTACAGGCTCTTGCCTCAGGTAGAGTTTCCACTCAAGTGGCATGTGGTGACAATCAGGACCTGCTCTCCTGTGTGGTCCATGTGTGTAGATTCCTCTTTCGAGCAGTTAGAGCAGGAAATCAGTCCAAATAGTTCAGAATGCCCAAAACAGGACAAGACAGCGAGGATAACAACAGCTAGTCCTGGTGGAGATGTGCAACAGTCTCTCAGTGAATCAGCTGCAGGTGAATCCTCCATTGCTATAACCAAAGGCAATGCAAAACCCAGTATGAAGGAATTTTCTACACACGCACACATCGACACCAATCACAACATAGAAGCAAATCCCCGAAGACCTATGGCAGTTCAAAGCAGGTTGCCCAGGTATGTCATCCCACGTGTTTACAGTTTTGGTTATCAACAAGGTCCCGATCAGAATAATCCCTCCTCTCAATTAGCTCTGCCCCCACAAATCATAAATCCTATCGATCCACTTCCACCAACGCAATCTGATATGTCTTTGGCTGCTCTTAGCACTGCACTAAAGACGCTGGAGAACTTTCAAGACACTAACCCAAGCCTGCGTAATGGCATCAGCCTCCCTACACACAGAAGAGGAACAGCAGCAGAGGGTGAATCACAAGAAAGAGACGGGGAGGTCGAAGAGGAAACAAAAGCAGCAAAACCAGTGGACAGTAAAGGCACAAGTACGATGCAGAGCGTTCGACTTTTAGAAGATGCTGCCAGTAAGGAAACGTTTGAAGACAGTCAGGTCTCTGCTGTAACTTTACCTCAACACAAGAGAGAGGATGCAAAGCAGAGACCGAAGTACACGACAATCAACTACGGGGATCCATCAGTCAAGCAAACATATAAACCCAAAGTTATACGATTTACTGACACCTTCACGTTCTAGACTGATAAATTCATGTTTTCAGTTTGCCCTGACAATACTGACTTACAAATGAACCACCAGGTAACTAGTATTATTCAATTAATATTATAAACAGCAAATTAGCTGCAATCCACAGGCTCATACAAACTAGGAAAAAGTCAAAGTCTAGTGCCGTTGGGTATCTTCTGTCATATTTATGGTATATTACAACATACAATATCCCTCCCAAGAATACTAACATTTTTACTGATAGACCAAATGTGTGTCATGGTTGAGTTGTTGCCATTTAAATCTGTGCGCAGACAAACAACACTGATGTTACACTCATTTGTCTTTAAACTGCTTTTCTTTCTGAAGCTGTGGTCTGACTGAATTTACTGTAAATGTGCTCAATGAAATGTTCAGGAACTGTACAGTACACACTGCTGTTTAAGTTTAACTGTATTCTGTCTACATATTTTACATGCAATACCCCTTTAATGCAATATCCCTTCTATTTGTCCATGAATAAAATGAAACAACACAGTATTATATGTTAGTGAATCTAGGTTGTTCATTTCTTTTTTTTCTAAATAAATGCAAAACAGGACAGGAGCAGAACTCTAAAAATCTAAATTTTCCATTTTCATATGTGTGTCATTCAGGTCACCGACAGCAAAATACAGCTGACTGGGTTAATGAAGTTCTTAGAACCTTAATAGTGCATCTTAATAATATTCATTCATTTGTATAGATTGTTGAGTATAACTGAGACAGAGGGAGGCAAAAGTGATGTCCAAATCTGTTAGCCAGGTAGGTGACATGTTTGTAAAGTTTTGTATTTATATTATTTTAGAAAAATGGGCAAAGTGTTCTTTAACCTCCTAAGACCCAAACTCTTTTATGGCATGCATTTTTAATTTCTCATTGCTATTTGGGCTGATTGGGACCTAAAGAATGTAAAAACAAAGAATTACCAGAATTTGTTTTTGAGAAAAATGAGATCCACATATGAGGAGATTCGTTTCAGATGTTGATAGAACAGTGGCATAATGTCCTCCTAAGTGCATATCAGGCCCTTGTAGAGAGTATTTTGGTCTAGACGTCCCAAAATGTGATGTCCACATATGTGCCAGGTCCTAGGAGGTTAAATACAATTTCAAAATGATTAAAAACTGAAATGTTAAAAATGTCAAAAAGTACTTTCTTTCGTGCATTTTAGCTAAGCAGTAAAAATCATGTGCTCCATCACTGAAGGACATGTGCAAACTCAAATTGTTCTTTATTGTTATTTTTAAGCTGTGTGGTTGTCAAAGGCCCTTTGACATAGACTAACATGGTTTACCTATTTAACTTACCAAGGGCACAAACACATGCCCTCATATGAACGTTTCAGGGTCATCAGAGTCTGTTCTGAAAATGTGGTGGTTTAATCTTGTTCAGTTCATTCTTCCTGTTCCCATGTGAAGACGCTGTTACAAGAACTGAACTGCTGCAAATGCACACTCTATATGGCTAACCATAGAGTAGCCTGTATTTTTATTTAGGTCTACCTTTAAAAAGTATTTGCTTTTGGTTGTTCAGACAAGAAAGAAAAAAGTGTGGTAACTTTGAAGCACTAAGAGTAAGTAGTATATACAGAGATGTGAACAGTCAAACAGGGCCTGGTAGGTCCGGATAGCTTTTTTCACCTTAATAAATGAAATCATCATTTAAAAGCTACATTTTATATTTACTCGGGTTATCTTTTTCTGATATTACAAATGTGCTTGATTGGAAACATTTAAATTTGACAAATACACAAATAATAAAATAATAATAAAAATAATGGGGGCAAATACTTTATCACAGCACTAGACAGGTTGTTGTAGAAAAGATAGAGGCTAACCTGTTCCATTTCCTGTACACCTCAAGGCTTACCCTCAGAGTTACTGGTGATAAAGAGCGTAGCTTCATTGTTACTGTGTTGAGAATAGTTAAAACTACAAATTTGGTGTGTCTTTAATGTAGATCCATTAAATGTCTAATATTAAGACTCAGTCATGCAACACAAACACATACTGATACTTCTGGCTGCTGTTTTGGTTAGGAATTTCTGTCATCATCAGCCTGGGTCAAATTATTATGACTGCTGCTTGTTTGTCGTTGCGTTTGCTGTCCACAGATTCAAAAATAGTCATGACTCAGCGCCTGTTCCTATGACATGACATATTAAAAATAGGTCCAGGTAGAAGAGCTGCATTAAACAGTCACAACAATATTATTGTTGTTTTGAAAGGCCTTCCTGGAAATCAGTTTTTTTTTTATCAAGGTTACCACAGCCATAAGAAGGAAGAGTGGTTTGATGACATCACAGAGACATAATATGACACTAGCTTGATGTTTATGCTGTTTTTATTTTTCAAGAGATTTCAAACTAGCCTTAAAAAGAGTGAATGTTATTTTAACCACTCATGGTACTTTTTGAACATGAATCTATGCTGAAGGAAGGACGACAAAAACTCAGGTAAACCGATTAATTTGATATACTTTGACACGTATTTACTTTGAGCTTGGCCTTTAATGTTTATTTATAGTTATTTTTGTAGTCCCGAGTCACCAAAACAGCATATATTAATTTAATTTCAGGCATATTTTGTACGACAGAGCGGCCCAACACGTGGCTACGTTCACCTGTGTGACGTGGCCTTGCAGGGAGAGCTGCTTACAATTTATGATGCTTTTACTTGCAGTAGGACACATTGGTACTTTTAAGACACCCTCGTTCCAGTGCACGAGTTCAAACAGTGTTTGGCTTATTATTATTATTTTTTATAAGTAAGTTTTAATTTGCTTATAAGTTTTTTATAAGCAAAAATATAGTGCGTATAGTGGAAAAATAGTAGCATTTTTAACTTTCCAGAAGAAAGGGTGTTTTACTTTTAAAGCAGTTATTATTGTGCGTTTCTATACCTGATGAGCAAAGCCTAACCTGATTTATTTCAAACCTTAGAACAATGCTTACATCTTCTCCTTTTCTTTTTCTACTTCTCTACAGCTCTGCATCGTATTCCCCCAAAGCCTCCTGAATGCAACATAGCTGATAGTTTGTCCCGTGAGAGCTTTGAAACGGGATGTTACGGAATCCCTCGAAAGCAGCATTACGGATTGATTGAAGCGCGTGTCCCGGGACATACGTCACATGTACGAGATCCTCCATGACAACGGGAGTGGAAGTTACCGAGCACCCGAGTGGCTTTTAGAGCGGGGATAGAAAAAAGGGAAACCGCAGTGTTTGCTTGTTAGCTGCACTCTATCGCGCCTGGGACCCGCAGCAACAGGTGCATGTAGATGGCGATAAAACTCGAGAAAAACTCTACTTTTTCACCAAACACGGTCTGACGGATGGGACGACACTAAACAACTTGTTAGTTCGCGCGAAAGACAAGAATGAGTCTCTCCCCAATTCCGGGGAAAAGCAGCTGTGTCTCAGCAGGTTTCCCACCGCTCGCACACATGGGGGAAAAAAGTCAGGCTTGGGGCTAACTTACCCTAACTTTGATTTTCTTGTTAACTGTGAGCTTTTTTTTTCTTTGGAGCAAACAACACGGCGGATACATACAAGGGACCGGAGCAGGACTAGAGGCGGTAATGGAGAAGAGCAAACCGAGCAACGGGAGCCGCTCCCCCGCCGACCGTGGAGCTAAAGACAGGGTGGACAGGTAACGTTGAAAAATGGTTAATAATCACAGAAAGCTTAAAACAAACAAATAAATAAATACGACTTGTTATTATTTTTCTGCTCTCAAAGTTAGTTGAGTTTCGTAAATCACGAAGCAGATATCACTTTGTTTATTTGAGCTGTTAGGTACTTCTGACGGTTACTGTAATAGTAGCTTAAACCTGACTAAAGCTAGTCAGTGTTAGCATCACAAAGATTTTGTTTTCAGGCCGCCAAAACTGATGTTGACTGTATTTAGTATTTTTATTTAGTATTTTTCCCCACCATGTTCACATATATCAAAAAGTGTCTACTGTGAGTACTGAAGTATTACAGAGTATTGTATGTGTGTAAAAAGCTTAGGATTAAATTACAATTACTTGAAGTTTACTCCACTGAATAACTGCCACGTTACTGAATTCACCCAAACTAATGCAGACCCATAATAAATCCCACCTTCATGAGAATTATAATGTTAATGCTTTGTTAACACTCTTCTACAGGGCTTTGTTAACTTTGACTTCATTGTAGTGGTCATTTGGAGGCTGTAATTTTGGATTTTACTTCGTCCTGTAAACATTATTACTCAAAAGCTACATATCGTACTGATTAATGGCTCCACGTTTTTATATTTGGATTCTACAAGAGTAGTTCTGAATAATTTACCGTAAAAAATAACCCTTACTTATCTTTTGCGCTGCCCTGGTGTCTGATTGGCTGCTCCTTACAAACAGATGGTTTGAATAGCGGTTGAGTGGGGTTTCTTTGCTCATAACCAGAGCAAGGTGCCTGTCATCATAAAGACCCAAGAGTAGAAAAAAAAATGTCTGAAACTGAGGCTCTGAGCTTTCACAGACTCACTCCATGTTTACTATAAGCATGCACCACTGTAAGCATATATGTTTATGACAAAATAAGAAGCTGTATAAAGAGTTTACTCTCTAATGGAGAGTAAATTTAGAGCCATCACACTGATAATGAATCAACACCTTTTTACAAAATGTTGCTAACTCCCTATGAGAGGGATTTTTGTCAGCTGTGGTTTACAGTGAATAAGCTTCGTTTCGATGTACAGGTGGTGGTACTGATTGGAAACGCTCTTGAATTTACTAACGTTTATATATATATATACTCCATACTGCACATACAGTTGTTTACTGTATGTGAAGTGGAACTGTGAACACAAACCAGCACGACAAATCAGATGACACATTGGTAACATCAACACTGATACATCCAATGTCTGTGCTTACTGTTGCTTTGGCAATAAGGACACTCTCAGAGGAGAAACTTAACCTTTGCATGAAGATAATTTTAAAGTTTGTGTGTTTATTTTTCACTGTAAAGTAGTTTCTGCAAATCCAGACTCTTGTGTGACGGTGGAGTAGGAGCATTTCTTCTTCAAGGGACGACTTTGCTCTTGGGTTAATCAGATTATTGTGTTACCTAATTCGTAAGGTTGAGCCACCTACAGCCACAACTTCTTCACGTACTGTAGGACCAGATTACAGATGGAGCTATTGGTATTTATAAAACACAACATTAATAAAACAAAGCAATTTTTTGATATCTACTCAGCTTGTCTTGGCTCACGCTCAAAGAATCACAACACAAAGGTACACTTCCTGTTTAAATAAATGTTTTCCAGTTTGTTTGTTTTTTAAGCTTTGATGATGACGAGCCTGAAAACTATTTCGATAACTTGCTTCTTTGAAGTAGTTTGTAACTTTGTCCACTTTTCTCAGAGTGGATCCGTATGGCTTCAAGCGGTCAGAGGACTTTGATTATGAGTCATATGAGGAGCTCATGTCTGAGTATCTAGTTGTGCTCACCCGACGAGCCATCAAGTGGTCCAAACTACTGAAGGGCAAAAGCAAGGTGCAGAAGAATATGAAATGTGAGTATGAAAACAAAACACACTCACACAGTTCATAGTCCATAAATGTGAACTCAACATAAATACTCCCCTCTGTTCCAGTAAAGCGTTACGTACGCAAAGGAATTCCCAATGAGCACCGGGCTCTGATCTGGATGGCAGCCAGTGGGGCTCAAGATCAATTGGAGAGGAACCCAGGGCACTACCAGTCCCTGCTGGGAGCTGAGCACGACCCCAAACTTGTGGAGACCATCAAGACAGGTCAGCCTGTTCAGTTTCTCACTCAGAATATTTCACGTCTTCAGCAATAAGCTAAGGGTACAGCTTATTGCTGAAGATGTGAAATATTCTCCACCATTTAAATTATGATTGGCCAAAATTAATATTAGATTAACTTTTTGACACACAAACTTTAAGTATTTGCAATTAAAAGCTCTGTAAAATTTAGCTTTGTTGTGTCTTTGTCTTCATTTTAATATCTTTATTTATTTGTGAAATAAAAAATGAAATAAACCTCTACAGGCTTTGCGCACCTGGATTTCAGTGTTTTGGTTCTTTATTCCTTCAGGTTCTCCTAAACTCACAAAGCAACTCCTTAACCCTCTATTTCACTAGTACCTACTCAGCTCGACTCTATTCTGTTTCAGTGGTTTTTCATTACAATTGAGTACCACCACCTCAAAGTGCCTGGGGTTGTTATAGCAACGCGTGTGAAAGTCACTCAAATAATTTGCATGCAACACAGACGCAACATAATGGACCACATTGAGCGACTGTGGCTCTGGTGGTAGAGTGAATCGTCTACCAGTCGGTGAATCAATCCCCGACTTTGAGTTCTCAGTTGAGAGGCGCTATAAGAGTGCCGGTCCATTTACTATAATAATACCACCTCTGTGTTTCACCTTAGGGGTGTTTGTAGCCAAGTGGTGAGCAGTGCCTGGAAGAAATGCTTGGATTTCTGGTCATCAGAATGGAAACATTTTTCCATGTTTTCCGAGCCCGTTTCAGAATAAAAGACACAAAGTCCAAATATTCAAGTTAATGTTTAGACTGACACGGTCTCACATTTAAAAGCAGGGTTTCAGTTTCCTGCTCCTTATCTGTTACAGCGTGTATACAAACACTCCACACACAGTGTGATCGGTGTCCTTGTGGTCTCTCGTTTTCAGACTTGAACAGAACATTCCCGGAAAACATCCACTTCCACAAGACGTCAAACCCATGTATGCAGAAAGCTCTGTACAATGTGCTGCTGGCCTATGGACACCACAATCCAGCTGTGGGCTACTGTCAGGTACGGCTCAGCGCCACAGATTCTACCCTGATGTGGATTTTGAATAATATTTAAGGAATGATAATGTAATGAGGTAAAGCAAAAAATCTAGTATTATTATTCTGTGATATTAGTTTGGATTTCAGCAAAGCCACCTTGCGTTGGTCCATCATTTAAGAGTTGTGCTGCGGGGTTAAAATGTACAGTAATGTAAACTGTAAATAAAAACAGCAGTTTTTATCCTTAATGAAGTTACTTTATCATCAACACTTACCAATAATTTGCCTCTGTGTCCAGAAAGAGGCTTTATGTGTCTATGCCAACTGACTGTGGTTATTATTAGCATATGAAAGCCAAATTCCATTCACCAGATCATATGCAACTTGGTTTGCAATTTAAACAAGGGTGTGTTGATGTTACATTTGTTGCCAGGCATAAATAGAATCCATTTATCTTTAATTATACTCAGTGGTTGTTGTTTTTTTTTTCTTAATTCCCATTCAGTCAGTGTACACTTACTGCTCTGTGCCCTAGATGCTTTATTAAAGAGCTCTTCTGTCTGATACAGTGTGCTCAGGCAGGATTACAGGACTCATGTGAAACCTAACTGTGTGTCTTTGGCTTCAGGGGATGAACTTCATCGCTGGGTATCTACTCATCGTCACAAAAGATGAAGAGAAATCCTTCTGGCTGATGGAGGCACTGCTCGGCAGAATTTTACCAGGTGAGTGTTTCTGTGCATTCACTTACTGCCACTCTGAGCCCTGTGCTATGAAGCACGTTCAATATAACCAGTGTGTCTCAATTTAGTATCTAGTACTACATGTGTGCCCTTTAAGAGCTTTAGTCAGTAAGACTGTAAAATATGTGCTGTAAAAACGTTTTGCCCATTTTAAGCCTGTAAAGAAAGCTGAAGCAATAAAATTGCACCTGTGAAACTATTTACTGATGCTCATCAGGGAAACAGTATAAGTTACCTTGGCAATATAACGTAGTATAAAGTGAACCAGCTTCAAATTACAGAAACCCCAGGGTTAACCCGGAAGTTATGCGGATAAGTTGAAATCCTGCTTTGTAGTACAGACCCGATCTTGTGACAGGTGTGTATGCGTCCAGGCCCTTTGGGTACCAGTGCTGTAGGCTAAGAATAATCCTATCACGTGGCCTCTGTGTGTGGCTTCAGAGCTGCACTCTTTTCATTTGGATCTTGTAGTCAAACAAGAAATGTTTATTAAATTTACATTTAAGCTCTTCATTCAGGTGTTGTATTGCATATATTGCTTTGTTCTTATCAACGATGTGTGTCTGCGTTGTGGTTACAGACTACTACAGTCCAGCCATGCTGGGTCTGAAGACAGATCAGGAGGTGTTAGGGGAGCTGGTGAAGGTAAAAATCCCGCCAGTATGGCAGATCATGGTGGACCATAACGTCATGTGGACCCTGGTGGTCTCCCGGTGGTTCATCTGTCTCTACATAGACATCTTGCCTGTAGAGGTGAGTGTGTCTGTGATCAGCGTTTCATACTCATGATCCAACTCCTATCAGTACTGCCACAAAACTTTTTTTTTTATTATTTTTTTTATTGACATGTAGTTGTAATATCTGAAAAATAGTCAGATTATTTACTAAATACTCGTGCTTCATCACAGCCCTTTTTTTTTTTTTTTTAGTGGGTTTCGATAAAAATGACAACTTTTGTTTTATTCCTTGTGTTTAATTAATCCAGTGCAGCTAACCCACTTTATACAGCAGTCTTTATTGTTTCTGTCTCCCTCTGTTGACCTTCAGGAGGGTGTGAGCTGCTATGTTTGTTCCCCAGATACAACTGCTGTAGGAGGGTGTAACACTTGCAGAGAAAGTGGAAAATAACAAGTTGGATGTGAAAAATGAAAGGAAAAGAAAATTCTCCCCACTATTTTGCACCTCTCTACATTAAAAAAAGACACTAGAAATACAGAAAATAGTCAAATTTGTATTTGCATTTTTAGCAGCAGTGCTGAGGAAACTACAAAATTATTACAAGTAACTGCTTGTTTTTGTAAATGCATAAATATGTAAAAGCACCACAATTTATGGCAAAGTTACTGTGAGCTTTGTCCAGGTGGGTCAAATCTGCATGCACCAACTTCTCTGAACAAACAGCAGTGGTGAGATGGCCGCTGTGTGAGCACTGCCGCTGTACACGTGCTCTATGCACATGTGTGTGGAGGTGACCTCACATTACATTACACAGCAGGGAAGAAATGGTAAAGGTAAAATAGTTTATAAAATAAATGACTTTTTTAAGCCAATGCTGTTTGTAGTTTCTGCAGTTAATTATACACAAATGGCAAAAGAAGTAATTAAACGGCTTTTGAACCACTATGCAAGTCTGAATGTAGCTGAACTGCCAGCAGAGTCAAACACCTCCTTTTCTCTAGTGTCAGAAATGATACCTGAACAGGAAGAGTTTGGGGGTGATGTGAAGTTTTCCTTCATCCACTGTTACAAACATCTACCATGAAAAATGCTTAAAAATAAAAGTTAAGAGCTTAAAAACACTGGAAAATTTTTTAAGGTAAATTGAAAAGGAGGTGAAAATTGTACTTGCCTTCATTACATCTACTAAAGTTAATAAAGACAGCTGATTCTAATTGAGCAGGAGGCCTGTTTGACCCTGCAAACTACTGCAAAAATGCTGTTAACCTACATTAATACTTCCCAAGCTCTGTTCAGTAGAACCTTTTACATATGGTTTACTCTTCATGTTGTGCACTACTTTGTTGTTGGGATTCAGTGCTTTGCTGCTGCTTTTCCCAGACTGTTCTGCGGATCTGGGATTGTTTGTTCTACGAGGGCTCGAAAATCCTGTTCCGCGTAGCTCTGACTCTGATCCATCACAACCAGGATCTGATTCAGCAGTCCCAGTCACTGCCAGATGTCTGCCAGAGCTTCAAGCAGATCACACACGGACCATTTGTAGAGGAGTGCCACACATTCATGCAGGTAAAGACCCCTACAACTCTTAAAAATCATCATGAGTCATTTTACGGGATGAAAGATTAGAGATATTACTTTTCCTTTTTAGTAATCCTTTAATCCCCGTTTCTCTTGCCTTTCCTAGAAAATCTTCACTGAACCAGGAAGTCTCTCCATGGCAACCTTGACTAAGCTCCGGGCGACCTGTCGCTCTCGTATCACTGCTGAAGAATCCTGACCTCTCCCTGTTACTTAAATTCAGCACTCATTCCAGCAGATGTTTGCACTTTTTTTATTTTTTATTTAAACTGAGTCACTGTGACTGCTGTACATACTGTGTGTGAAACAAACACGCAGCAGTGTAAATATGTGATTAATATTCTTAGGTCTGTGCTGTATGAAATGGTTGTGTAGTTTGGTAAACATTTCCTTTTGTTTAAACATGAAATTCTGCACTTTAGTCTAGAAAATGAGTCACGGTGAAGAAAATGCTTAGCAGTAAATGTTCAGGTGTGATGAGTTGTACACTATACATAGCTGGAAGAACCTGTCTACTGTATTTCACATTAAAATCCATCAAGAGTATATACAGTGATTGTTCAATTAAATAGAAAGTTGACATTCAATACTGGTACAATGTTGTAATATAGTATGAATAAGTGATTAATCTAAGGTGTTGCAGTACAGTAAGTTAAAGGGGTGGATTTTCCCCCCCCCCTCACAATTGTGTTCAGGGGTCTCTTTAACAGTTAAACAGTTTAAGTTCTAGTTTGACTGATTAGAGTTGGTTCAATATGTTCTTGAGTAAAATTGTGGATAATGAAAAGTATCATCATAACGAACCAGTCTGTAATACAACAAAAATCTCTCAGCTGAATATTTAACATACACCTGAGTAACCAGCTTTGAGTTAAAAATAATAATTAAAGCTGCAAGCAGCGTTATGAGGGCCCTCGCACCCCGGCGTGTCGAGCCATGCCCAACTTCGAAAACCAGCACGTCCGATCTCATGTCACATTGATGGAATTCATGCATTCAACCACCAGCTAACATTTAATCTCATTCTACCACGATTATAGTCGTCCCACTAGGTGGCGCTCTAACCATTACTGACAAATGGCATACCAAACATTTCCGACCTCAAGTCTCATCAAATCTGCGACCTTTGGGAGAGATTGGACATTGTGTTTTTGAGTGACAGCAGATTACTGCTCTTTGGCGAGTGATTGAAACTCCACGTGTCGCCATGACCACCCCGTTTCCCGGAACGTAAAAAGCTTCGCAATTTAACATCACAGAGGTCTTTAGATTCGACACACAAGAGATAGCTTCAATCTGACGAAATCCCTTGGAGGAGTTCGTTAAAGTACGGTGCCTGAAAAGAGGGGAAAATGGCACCAAAATTACACATTAATTTTAAAATGGCTGACTTCCTGTTGGATTTGGGATATTGCTCCAAGAGACTTTTTGTACATCTTGATATCTTCCATAAGCTTACAAGGTCTCAGACTCATAGATAAAACACAGAGCAGGGGCTGTGGTTTTGAAATTTTGTAGGGGGCGCTGTGTAGCCATTTTGCGCTATTCAATGAAAATGATCACATAAAAACAAAGCTTTCATCACATTGGAGGTGTGGGCCAAATTTCAAGCCTCTATAAACTTTCCAAGCCCCACAAAAGCCATTTCATCTTTCACGGTGAACTGCGCAGCCACCAGGGTGCGCAGTTCACCGTGGTGGCTGCGCCGTTCAGTTTAAAATCTGGTACTAATCCGACTGGATTTCATGGAGTTATAATTTGTTTCTTCATGGCGAGACATCAAAGTTCGCCATGCTGCTGAGGTCACACCCTTTTGTGAAAAGTCAGTTTTCACTGTACCCCAAGAACAACTGCTTATGGCTTTCCTGGCGAAATTTGAGGCTGCAGATGTCACCCATCATTATACTGTACCCCAAAGTGTAAAACATGACATTTCCTGTTCCCACTAGGTGGCACTCTCCCTGATGTCAAATATGGCAGTTTAAATATGTTCAGGGGTGAAGCCTTATATGTGTGGTCTTTGGTCCAGATCGGACAATGACAGAATGAGAGGCAATAAGATTTTCATGGCGAGTCATCAAAATTCGCCGTGGCGCCACGGCCTCGCTGTATCGCGAAAACTCAAAAGCTCCGCAATTTAACATGGCCCAAGTGTGTAGTTGACACTGACCAAAGATGAAGCTTATACGACCAAATCCCAAGGAGGAGTTCGAAAAAGTTCGAGGCATGGAAACGGCGAAATTAGAGCCAAAATGTCACCTTCACGTCTAAATGGCGGACTTCCTGTTGGGATTGCGTCAATGGGCCCACTGACTTTTTGTTCGTCTTGGCATGGTACAGATGTGTGCCATATTTCATACATGTAGCTCAAACGATGTGGTCGTAGGGCTGCATTTAACAAGGCATAGGTGGCGCTCTAGAGCCATTTCCCAGTGCTCATATGTAAAACCATTAAAATACAAAAAAAAAAATAAAAAATTTACAGACCTGGCATGTGTGCAAAATTTCATGAGTTTGACCATGTTTAGGCCCTCAAAAGGCCCTTGTTTTGCCTGAATAATAATAAGAAACTGAGCAGATACAATAGGGCCTTCGCACTCTCGGTGCTCGGGCCCTAATAATAATAATAATAATAATAAGCAGCACATCACTCTACAGTAGGAATAGAATTTATTATACAATACAAAAGATCAAACTCAGTACTCCATTAAGAAATTAATTTTTTACATTTTTTTGGGGAGGGGGTGAAAAGCAAGACTGGAAGTCAGCCATGCAGCTGTTAACATGTCTATTGAATACATTCTGATTTTGTTGACCAAGTCTATGTACAGCTTCAGGGGGCACATCATTTACATTAAAGTAGGAATCCACACATTGGCACAACTATCAGACTGCATTTGATTAGCTGCATTAACTGCAGTGCACTGATGGGATAGGCTTTGTTTCATCTGAGGAGGAATATTACTATAGGTGGCAGGGGAGAGGAGAAAAAAAAAAAAAAAAAAAAAAAAAAAAAAACCCCAAAAAAAAAAAAACACTGCAAGCACACAGAGCCTTCTCCTAAGAGTTGCCAGGATTATCTTATGCTCAGGAAGGAGAAAATACACCTGTGAGCATGTTTAGGTAGTTGATGGGATTCCCTCTGCCTCTTCAACTGGAAGATTCTTTATAAATAATTACACAGCTAAAAAGACAAACAGCAGTTCAAGAAAATACAATCAAGCTCCTAGAACACGAAACAAGAGCAGACCATTAATGGTTAACATGCTGCAGCAAATTCAAACTCTCTCAAACTTTGAGTCACCTCACGTTTTGTCAAGATGCATCTAAAGTTAGCAGTTTAATCATAATCTACAGAAAAAGTGAAAAATATTCCGCAGATATGCACACTTCCATTCACTCAGGTTCATGCCCATAGAGTCATCCATCACTGAGTAACACCCTTTGGTTCATCCCTTCACCAATCAGCCTGTATGGTTCAAGTCTAATGAAGGGTTGCTCAGATGGCCTGGTAACCAGCATGGCTCCTCCTCTTGCCTATTAGATAGGCAACAAGGGTGATCAGCACCAGACCAGCCAGAGCTGCTCCAACAATGATGGGGATAATCATCTGGTTCTGGTCCATCTGACACTCCTCAGCTATAGACAAACAGGTAGAGCAGAAGGTTACGCTGTGCAAACAAAATGACAGTTTTTCCTTTAACACCACTGTGCTATATGGATTTAGCACGTGAATGTTCCAGCTGGTCTGGTAAACTGCATTTCAGACTTATCATTTTAGTACAGGGTAAGGCTTCATTTCATCTCCATCTCTGATTATTCATTCTGAAACAAGTTATGGATGTGTTCAACTGTCACCAGCAGCATCAGATTTCTCTTTTTGAATGCAAACTAATTCAAAAACTTTTTGCATGTAAAGAATATGGCAAAGTTCACCTTTTTGAATCAAGTTACAAAAACAAACTTGTCTCAAAGTTTTTTAAATTTTGTTGTTTGTTTTTATTTGCAGGGTTGTTCATGGTCATAATAAACAGTTGCTGACCACTATCAGGCTACACAAATGCTCCAGCTGCTAGAAACAAAGGCTTCAGATATCCAATCTCAAAATGTTTGATCCAACTATTAAGTGTGCATCTGCCCTCCACACATCTTCAGCCAGTGTGGAGAATCTCGTTCAGCACAATTTTCACAATGAAAATAGGTAAAAACTGAGGAATGACGTGTAATGTCAGACGAACAACATGCTTAATTCATTCATACCTGTAGCAAACCGGCCACTCTTGACACCGAAGGGCTGGACTTGGAGATCGAATGTGTTGAGAGAAAAGCTCGGTGTCACAAACAGAGTCTGCTCTGCACTGCACATGTAGGAGTAGCCCAGCGTACTGCGCAGGTAGTTCAGACTGTTGTTACTCATGGAAAAGTTAGCTGAGTAGAGAAAGTTAATTTTATTCAGCTTCAAAAAGTCAAGGGGGAAAATAAAAAAAACAAAAACTAAATGCATGTTGTTCATAAGAGGTACTTACCACTGTCTGACCAATTTGCAAGCAGTGTTACCCCACTCAGATGGTACTTGTTGGTTGTGGAGTTCTGTGGACCAAAGGAAGAGCTGAGCAGTTTTGTAAAACTAACTAATGTAACATTAACAACAAAAAAAAAAATTATAGGGTTAAATTTACCAGAGTGAAGTTGAAGGTGAGAATAGTAGATTGCATCTGTGTCAAAACCAGTGTAGCACTGCTGGCTCCACATAATCCCGTTGAGTTTGTCACATTAGGATTGAGGTTTAATACATCCTGGATAGTCTGGCCAAAGAGAAAAACAAAACACAAAACCCAAGATACACTTTGTTTCAAGTTTGTTTTATTTCTATTGACAACTGGTTAAACATTTGCTGTTTTTGGGGAGAATGGCTACGCTTGAAGCTGTAGTTTACCTTATTCTGAGATGTGTAGGAAACATTGAGCTGCAGCCCCATTTTAGCCAGGAGACATATGGTGTCATTGGTGTCCTTCACAGTGTAATTGCCCTGCTGAGGTGTTCCTGGAGGGGTCTGAGTTGGAACTGCTGTTGTACTGACAGTGGTAGGTGAAGGTGTTGTGCTGGTTTGATCTGCAAAACATACGGTCTCTGCAAACAGAGAAATAATACTGTGAACATGAAACCGTTCAAACTTAAAACCACTCAAAAGTAAAAATCTTTAACATCCACCTACCATTTCGACTCAGCTCATTCCCTGGCATGTATGCCTCCAGCCTCATGTCAGTGAAATTAACATTTGCGGTGGCAACTGTAATAACTGTAGGGCTCGCACATTTGTAGGTGGTGTTGACTTTTGCTTCAATCCCAACAGAGGCAGACACCAGAGTGACCACACCTACAACAGAGTAGGTAGAAATCACCACAACAGTACCTTGAATACCATTCTGTTGTTTATACTGACATTTCAGTCCAAGTCCTCCTTCAGTTTTCCCAAACAATCTTGAGGCACTGCTAAAAGTTACAAAGCACTCAAATTTAAAATAATCAGTGTGGCCATCCTCACAACTGTTATAAAAAAATAAAAATAAAAAAAAAAAGCTCATCC